ATTGTTTTAAAAATATCAAGCATAAATTTATTAGGACTAATAACTATTACTAATACACAATTTTAAATTAATGTGAATTATAAAAATTATATGTAAAGAATCGCTTAAATGACCCAAAATAGAAATTTGAATTTTTTGAGCCTTTACACAAAAAGTTTCTTAAAAATAAATGTATTTTGTATGTTATATATTTACAATGTAAAATCCAATCTTCGTTGGGATTGAGCTAATTTTTCAATTATCTCATCCATGCTTGTTGTCAAATGCCTATGAATATTCAAAAGATCCAAACCTTTCAATCTACTTTCAGATGTTGTACTTCTTGGTATGTTTTCGGACAGTATTTTAATTTTTTTAAATATACCCGGGCAGGGCCCGAAATTTTTAAAAAAACACCCAAGCCAGGCCTGAATTATTTTAAAAAAAAACACCAAGGCCGGGCTTATTTTTTAAAGAGCCTATATTTGAAATCGTTATTATTAGCTAAAAAAATCAAAAATAAATTTAAAAAAAATCCGGGCAGGGCCTGAAAATTTTATTTTTAAAAAATTGGACCGCGTCTGAAAATTTTTTAAAAAAAGCCGAGCCGGGCTTAAAAACTTTTTTTTAAAAAGCCGGGCCAGGCCTGAAAATTTTTTATAAAAAACCCAGGCAGGGCCGTAAAAAATCTTTAAAAAAACTCCGGGCCGTGCCCTGCAAATGGTACTTCTGCAGGCCTCTGTTATTCTTCTTAAAAAAGAGAATGTTCTCTCATTAGTTTACTAATGGGAAGAGTTTATAAACCCTTTTAATACATTAGGAATTTAATCTAAAATGTGTTTGAAATAATGCAGAGCATCCATAGCATTTTTTGGAACTATATCAACCATAGTTAATCTTATAAACATCGTTATTCAGCTAGTAAGGCATCATAAGATACTTTAACATCTTCAATAAAAATCTAACAAATATTTTTTTTTCTATCACTATCTGAAAAAGGTTGGGAAGGCTTTTGTGGAAGTAATATTTGCAGATTAGTAAGTGCTGCATGATGAATTAAAAATTCATTTATTTGGGTTATAAATGTATCTGTATCTAAGTTATACTCTTCTACTGATCCTGTATTAATTTTAACGATGAGCTTGCCTTGCTACAAGTCGAGGGAGACAAATATTAAACGCATATAGCTCTGCTTTGACTCAACAATAAAATATAAAATATGAAATTCTTCATCAACATTAGCCCTAATTTCCTTGAGTTCTGATAAAATGCTCTCCGCTATTCTCATCTTCTTAATCAAGTCAATGTCATGTTTTTGAAAAGTAATACTTAAAAGAGTTGTATAATTAAATAATACATTCTAATGAGAAATAAAATTTGGAATAAGCATTGAATCCAATAATTTATTGCTTCTGAGGAAATATTTTTTTCAGGCAATTGTGATATTTCAGTAATAGCAAATAATTGGCTCTTCTAACCAATGACATTATACTATAGACTGCTGATCGTAATGCTAAAATCAAATTTGAAGTGGCAAAAATTGAATTGAGTAGCAGCCATTTTGTGTTTGGAGCTTATACGTAAGAAACATATGATAATTTCATAAATTTCAGATTTATTTTTATTATATATTATATTTATAATCTCATTTTTTTTTATACTAGATGAATAAAAAACATTTTTAGAGCATTTATGGTTATACTGTTTTGATTATTGCCTAATGTAATCAAAAATTAAAATTAGATTTTTGCCAAAAATTTAACAGAACTGTACTTTTTCAAGGGCATAAATCAAGTATTATAAAAATATGTTATTTAACTTAAATATTTATAGGTCAAGGAAAAATTATGGTGATTATTTGTAAGAAAAAACTACACTTTATACCATATACTTTTAATTATAATAATACATTTATTTTATTAGAAGTAAATATAACATATATACATTATTTGTATTTATTATTGTAAAAATTTATAAGATTATTTTATTCTTCACAATATACATACTCATTATTGATTTTTGTACTTTAGTAAATTAAATTAAATAAATATATTTAGAAATGGATAGTTATAATTATTAAGGAATAACATAATTCAAAGCAAAAATAAAATATAATATAAAAAGACTTATAAATTATGACCTCTTTTTATTTGCTAAAAAAATAAATACAAAAGAAATTATATCAAATTTTTTTTTTATAATTTAAAATATTTATCAATAAAATCATATATATTCAATTTTGTTTTGGAGTAATTTCTAAAATTCCAAATCACATGTTAAATATTTTCATAGCAAATATGACATAATAATTTTTACAAGAAAAAATAGGTTATTAATAGCTGCATCTTTAGATTTAATTCTGAATATTTAATTTGAGATATCATACTTATGACAGGAAATTTTGCTTCCTGAAAAATATTTTTGGTTACAGCCATATGCACTACTAGATATTATCATTTTCTTAAATTATAAAAAATGTATTAAATTTTTTAATAAATTTCTAATCATAATATATCCTTCCTCACTTTGATTTTTTTTATTGAATATATAAATATAAAATATTAAATTAATTCTTATAAAAAATATTCATTCTAACTTGATAAGATATATATTTAAAAAATCTTAAAGATATTCATGAGGTATTAAATAAAACAATAAATCCTTACTTCTCTAGAAATGACAAAATTTTAAACTATATTCTTATTATTATACAGATTTATTTTATATTGATTAGTCTATATAAAATATTAAAGATATTCATTAAGTAATAAACCGCAATGTTTATAAAATGTTTTTTATTCATCTAGTATATAATAAAAATAAACCTGAAATTTATGGAATTATCATATGTTTCTTACATAAAAGCAGAGTTGTACAAAAGATCTTCTTTATTTGAGCAAGATCTTTGAAGATCGTAAAATTTGAAGATCTTTTATTTTTTAAAAATTTTGTGTAACGATCTTCAAAAATCTTCATGATATTTATTTTTTTACCCCTTTATTAAAAGCCCAGATGTTTTTCAATTTTCATCAAGGCAGGAGGAGAGGTATAAAACATAAAAGAAATATTATATTAATAAAATTGAAAAACATCTGGGCTTTTAATAAAGGGGTAAAAAAAATAAATATCATGAAGATCTTTGAAGATCGTTGATCGCAGCTATCTTCAAAGATCTAGATCTTTGAAGATCGTTACACAAAATTTTTAAAAAATAAAAGATCTTCAAATTTTACGATCTTAAAAGATCTAGATCCTAGATCCTAGATCTTTGAAGATCTTTTTATTTTGAGCAAATGCACAACTCTGCATAAAAGATCCAAACACAAAATGGCCTCTACTCAATTCAATATTTGCCACTTCAAATACATTAATCGGCAGTCTATAGTATTAATGTCATTACTTCTAACTCCTTGAAAGCTGTTAATGCACGATGGTAGAGACTCTATCTCGTTGGACAAGGTTGCAATTTCTTTTTCCCTGTTGGACCAGAAGTTATATTAAATAAAATAAATTATTTATTATAGGCTCAACCATCTTTCTCCTCTTTCTTTTCAACTAGAAATTTGGAAATGGTAGATAAATATTCCACTAAAATTTTAAAAATAATAACTAAATATTACGCTGGAAAACTTGAAATCGAGATTAATTGATAAAATAATCTATGAATGTGATAATAAATATAATTAAATATATATTTAATATGAGATACGAATAAATATTAACAAATTAATATAAACAATAAATTTTTGAAAAATATATCCGGCATCTGCATTTTTTGGCTTTGGGGGGAGGGGAGATTTGCCCCCTGCCTCCTCCCTCCCCGCTGCGTACGCCGATGAGTTGCATGAGTCGATTATACTCTATATAGTAGTCAGCGTCTATGATATGATATTCTCTGGAGGCAAATCTTCCTCAAAAAATTATACATACCCCCCCCCCCCCAATATTTTTCAATACTATGGGCGTCGATTTTTGCACATTATTAATTATACTTTTTCAAATAATGATACTCCCATCATTTAATTTAAAAAGAATAACTCAAATTATCATTACTCTATATCAAAATATTGTTAGTATAAAATATATTTCTTGGAACACAAATTAAATAACCCCCCTCCCTTACCCCACTTACAATGAATGCATTATAATAACAGGCTCTTAATTATGGGCATTGTAAATTTTCCTGTTCTAGTAAGTATTGGCTAATAAAAATTTCTCCCTACACACCTCCCCCACCTCTTGTCGTAAATGAATAGAATATACTACTCAGCGTCTACGTGACAGTATATTCACTGGATGCAAACCCCCCTCAAAAATATATATCAACCCCCCTAAAAATACCAAAATGTTATCCATAGATAATTTAAAAATGTAATGAAAAATTTTCTAGATTATTATAGCCTACCCCCCATAATGCCTACCCCCTACTCCCTACCACCTACCCCCTACCCCTTTATAGATATTAGGAAGCAAACTGTTCCTACCCCCGCCCCCCCCCCCGCTCTAGACACTGATACTACTATAAAGAAAATTTTGAAACAAAAATTAGTAAAAGGTATTGACTTTTTAAAAGATCGACTATATTTATAAATTTTTTATAAGAAATAAGTAAAAACTCAAAGTTATTTTTATATAAATATAATATAGCTAAATGCCTAAAATAAATGGACTGAAGGACTCAAATAAAAGTTATTGGGTGTAAAACCACCTAATAGTGCCCCCCTCTCCTAGGTATATTGATGTATTATTATATATTATTTGACATGAATAAGAGTTTGTAAATAGAATTTCTAGCCCTTTAAATTACATACAAAAAGATAGCATAAAATTATTCATAAATAAATTTTAAAAAATAATGACTATAATTATAACTGATAGGTAATATATAGAGTTTGTTAATGTTTAGCAATATTTTATTTTATAATATTCTATAAATTAATTTTTTTTAAAGAAATATATTTGGCTCTATTTCATTAATTTAATTGATAATTATTCAATAAATTTACCCTATCCACCTAGCCCACCTTCTAGACTGTCCCTCTTAAATGTCTATTCTGCATCGTTTCTAAATAATTATAGACAAAATGTTCCTAACCCCCTCCCCCAACCCTACTCATATAGGCGCTGATAGTATCATAGTTTTTTGGCCACAGAGGTTGAATTATTTTTAATTTAATGCCCATAATTTATTTATAATTTTATTTTTTAATTTTCTAACATTTTTACGTACAGCTGTTAAATTATCTTTATCTGATTTTGTTGAGCTAAATGACAATACTAATTTATAACTGATTAAATGTAATTTAATAATAAAGTTTCTATTATATTCCAATAAAGTTTTTAACAGATACCACACATAAAATATTATAAACATTGGTCACAGGATGAATAATCGAGACATTCACATTAATCGTTTAGCTACTCATAATACAAATATTTTTAGAAGATTTTTATTCTTTAATCATTCCAATCAAACATGGAATAATAATTCAAATAATAATGGAACCCGACGAGGCAATAGTAGATTTTTCAGATTTGCTTCTTTCAAAAATTATGCTTTACTTAGCATAACATTTTATCTTATATTGTTTTCACATCGCTATCACAAAAACAATTATCAATATGCTCTTTATAGTGCACACACGCCCAAAAGTCTAGATTATAATGATTTATTTCCATTTATTCTTGGTGAAAAACATTTTATCAATTTTTTTACCAATGGTGAACATGTAGATGAAATTTTTCACATGGAACCTTATAATCAAAAATCAGATATTCTATCAAACCAGAAAAATATTCATAAAGAACCATTACTAAGTGACACCTATAAAGGAAACAAAAATTCCTTTTATGATTTTAATTTTTTCAAATTTCCATCAATAATTAAAATCTCTAGTTATAAAAATAAGGATATCAAAAATGAAAATAATATAAATGTTAACAATGAGTTATCTAATCATACATCAAGTGAAACTCCTGAGGTCACCACGGAAGAGGATGAAAATGACATAAATAACCAAAAGTCTATATGGAGAATTATTGCTGATGCCATTATATTCCAATATTCTAAAAGAAAGGCATGGTCTTTAAGAAACATTCATATATTATCTAAAAAAATTGTTGACTCCTCAAATACTGCATTAAATAGTGTAAATATAATCACTTATGATGCAAATAAAGTAACAGATGATGAAGCAAGTCCATTGAACAAGGATACATTTATATATAAAATGACTAAAAGATTGATCACATTTGTATTTAGAAGTTGGGACAAATTTTTTGCTCCACCGGATAAATATAAATACAAATTCTCTGCATTTTGGGAATCAATGGAGTTACCATTTTATTTTGGTATGGTAGATAAATTAGTATTTATGGTGGTTAGAATCATTCGAACAGATTATTGGGTAATTAAAATCTATTTATTTACATTGACACATTTTTTATTTATTTATCAGTTATCATAGGATTCTAACCTAACAATTCTTTATCACACTATTTGTTTCATCTTATTTTTTATTTTAATTAAAGTGCTTGATATTTTACTTTGAAAACATTTCTTTCTTATACATTCAATTTTTTTAAAAATTTATGTCTTATTAAGGCTAATTTTTTTTTAAAATAAATTAAGTTAATTATTATCTTCCTCCTTTATATGTATATTGACTTCTACTACGTGATTTTTTTAAAAAAAAACACTATGTTTAAAATCTCAGCTTTTAACTTATCCAAAAAAAGTATTATTCGTATTTTTCACTTAGATATTTACATAATTAATGGTTTTAATATATAGTAGAGGAGACCAGGACTAGTCGGCTTAGGAGCTTGTTAAAAACAGTAATTATTATAAATTAAAATTTTGTTCTAAAATAGAATTCTATGATATTCATATTTGAGGAAGAAAATAATTTATATTATTTAGCCATTTAAATTTTTATTTGTTATGACATGTATTTGATGTTAAAATTACAATATTTTCACTTTACATTATTAGGTAGCATTAAAAAATTAAAAGTTTAAACATGACAAAATGGAAAATATATTAAGTTAAAACTCTATTTTAATATTTAGGAAAATTTCAGATTGATATGTAAGGCATAAATATATGTTAAGATTATATTAGTATTATTAATACTATTGGGGTTAAAATTGTGGCTTTTTGGTATATCAATCAATTAATATATAAAAATTCCAAAGAGGGAAATTTTCACCATAAAGGATTATGAAGAATTAAAATTATATGAAAATGATATATATGACAATTATTATATTAATTTATCAATAAATTTTTCATCAATTTTAATAATCAGACATAAATAAATATCCTGCAAACTAAAATCTTCATATATAAATATATATTGTGACTTATTTGATTAAATTCTAATTATATTTAATAAATCAGATATAAGCATTTTATTTACCATAAATGAATTTTTGGCGAACAAAGATTTTCATATCTATTGTAATTGACAATATAATATGATTCAAAGTATTTCATTTAAATAGATATGAACATTTTTGTTATCAAGATATTTATTTTGGCCTGATAGTAAGATCCAATTAATGTTATATATATTTTAAGTGAATTTATTATTTACTTTATTAGGTATACCTACTAGAAATTTTTTAATACATTATAAAATATATAAAATGGCTGGCACTATGCCCAAGATAGGTCAAGATAATAAATAAAAAATATTTGATGATGAGGAGGAAAATAAAATGGTTGAATATCTAATTTCATGAAGTAAAACTTTTTATGGTTTATCTGTTAAAAAGTATTAAAAATTTATAGTCAAATTTTACCTCATCCCCATTCAAGAAGCTCAATTAAAACAGCAGAATAAAAAATCAAAAAAACACATTTAAAACATTAATAAAAGATATTTTATTACATGTAAACACTATAAAATTTTCATAATTTTGAAAATTGGTTTCAATGCAGTGTTTAAAGATTGGGCGCATGGGTTCTGTGCCAAAAAAATTACCATTTTATTTGTTATAATTGAAAATATAATATTATATAAATAAAGTATACATGAAGAAGAAAATTTTTTTTGTGTCTCATAGGAAGCTTAATGCTCCACTTGATTGATTAGCCCCATCCATAATCCGACTAACCGCGAGTTCTACTAGCAAAAAATTACTTTTATTAAAACATTTTTGGAGAAAAAATTATGGTATCTATTGGTATTTTGCAAGATCTATTATTATTTTCGGAGCTGTAATGAATTTGACAAAAATTGCGCCGACTAGCCCTGGTCTACCTTACACTATTTTTTTAAAAGAAAAAATTATATAAAAAGGCATCGTTGTCCTGCTTAAAAGAGTTTGATTTAGAACCTGCACAAACTGCTCTGAATTATTATTTTTTAAGTATAGTTCTAGTCGGCTAAATTTGACTCATTCATCCTTGAAGAGCACCACACCTAAGTTTTTTTTATAAAAAAATAATCAACACAGATTGTAAGACAGATTTTATGTTTATTTGCTTTTTTTAAAGAAAAAAATAATTTACATATCTTATATTATAGAGTTGGAGTTTGTTTCCCTTCTTTTAACAAGAAACATGAGATGTTTCTATTTATTATTATTAAAAATTAAATTAATTTATCGATAAATAATTATTTTTTTAAATAATAATAAAAAAATATAATAATCATTTTTTTTATCAATCTGAGAGATGAGACAAAAGCTCTTTATCGGAAAGGTTGGATAAGAAATATTTTTTTGTGAAAATTAGCCAAAAAAAAATACAAAATATTTTGCCTAGCAATTAATTCTAAAAATTACTTAAATTAGATAATCTCTAATTTGATTATGTTTAAAAAAATTCAAATAAAAGTTTATGAATGAATGAATTATTTGAACATGCAAATTTTATTTTAAAAAGTATATTAATAAATCTATGACAATTCAAGAATGAGGGGGAAGGAGGGGGGAGAAGAATTATTGGAAAATTTTTAATTATACGTTATATTTTATCAGTTAGCTTTTTTTAACGAAATGTGACGTAGAAGGATATCTCATGATTTTCAATTTTTAAAAAAAATATGGCCGAAGTATTCTAATAAATAGCCTGATGGTGTGATATTTTTTTTGTACCAATTCTGAATTTTCATATATAGGATCTTGCATTGTAACTTATAGCCAATTATTTTACATATAGAGGCAGACTGACGATTTATTCATCGAAACGTATGTCAATACAAATCGGCTGTTGCCACGCCTATTTTTGAATGAAAAATATATGGTTGGTTTTGCATATTGGCAAGAAAAACGAGAAAATATTTTTAAACAAACTCATGCATACCGATACTTCGCGATATCGTTCAGTATCGACCGATACTTCTAGTAACCGATACTAGTTCTAGACCTAATATAGAGTTTTGGGCTCGGGTATCCACCCCATTTTATAAAACTTTCAAACTTGATCCATGCCGAACCCGACTAAAAAATTGTCGGGTCTAGAACTTCCGGAATATCCGAACCCATAACGCCATATTAGGGTTTGGTGGAATTTGGAAATAGAATCATTTTATTTTAAAATAAAGATCTTTTCTTTTTTACAAGAACGCTTCACAGCATGATTCTGTTTTCCTTCTTCATTCTTGTCTTATTTATTTTTTATGTTTCCCTTTTTTAAAAAAAAAAAATTATTGTATCCTTAGATTTCTATAAACACGGCCTATTGTTGCTTGATACTGTTTGCCAAAATAATCCACAAAGCCATATTCGGGAGTTTACGGAGCGCCGAACAAATAGTAAAATAAATAACAATAATAACCTTTATAAATAAATTTTATTTTTTAAAATTTAATTTAACCTTGGTTAATAAAAAAACTGACAGATAAAAACGGATTTTGCTCTGTGTTGAAATATAAAGCATTTATTTAAATTTGGTGTACGTATGGTTAGAGGCATAACGCAATAAATCTTCTCTTCACCCTTGCGAAAAAATAAATTCTTATTGGACTTTCTATTCATTTTTTTAGGCTCCTATATTTGTGAAAAATAAATTTGACCGTACGGTACGATAACTTTGTTCTTTATTTGATAAGAGCATGATAAAGCGAAGGACGAAAATTGGGGACAAAGATGATATTTCCATTTTTAAAGATTTTTTCTTAAAAAAATCAATTTAAATAGATGTGTTTACTTCCCTACTATTATTTATATTTTTCAATATTACTTTAATAATTTTCTAGGAGATATAAGCGAGATTCACCTTTTTCGCTGTGTCGTTTTTCTCGATTTAGAACGTGAACCCTTCCTTTCTTCGATTAAATTGAGTAATTTTGGGATTAAAAATCCAAATCTCAAGTCCGTCCTAAAGTCCAATTTCCCCAAAATAGAAAATAATGGAAATATAACCATTATTGCAATTCCGAATTTGGCGGACATATTTATATTTTATTGTTTTCAAATTAAATAAATAATAAGCTATTGAAGGACAAAATATGCAATTTCGTGTTCAATAAAATGATCTTCATGTTCGGGCTTCTCAACGTAGACAATTTGGGCGATTTTACCCTTTGGACAACATGGTTTAGCGTTACTTGCTTTCTACATTCCACGGCTCTGCTACTCAAGACCAGATTAGATTATGTGAGTCAAATAATATACTAACATTTTTACTATTTGAGGTGACAATACTAAACCGCCCACTATTTTCCATAATTAGCCATATTAATGAGAGAACTCCGGAGAGATTATCCATTAACAACACGCGTGATGTGCATATAAAAAAAAACATTTTCTATGCTACACGTATTTTTTTAAAAAAAGATATCTTTACTTATGCCTGGGTATAGATCTCGAAAAAAAATATGTACCTAGTGAAATATTAAAATTTTAGATATGGAGACCTAGAACCAACGATTTTCTTTATTATTTTTTTTCGTAGTCAAAATTTTAGCATCTATCAGTCTCAAAATATGGATGAAAATACTAAAATAAAATTCTTCCAAAATTCAAATGACAATTTTATTAATTATGAATACAATGTTGTTTGTCTATTTATAATATAATAAAGTATGCTTTGTGCCTCATTTATGTGCTCCTTACTCGGTATTTTTCAAAAGCGAGCGAATGATAAGAAAAATTTATAATCTATAACCATATAATTCATTTTATCGCATCGCGCGGTCAATTATAAATATAACCTATTAGCTTGCTCTTGAAAAATACACAGCGATGCGTATGTCGCTTGAATGATACGCGCCTTGCTATATACGAGGTCTGACCTTTTAAAAATCTTCACTTTAAATAAAAAAAAAGGAAGATTAATAAATTTATCTTTTTTTTAAAATTTAATCTATAGTTATCGCTGAGTCCGAAGATAAACAAGCTGACAAAGTTTAAGCTAGGAATTTTACTTTGCGCCCTAATCATTTGGGCGAATGCCATCACGCTAGCGGTCATATTGGCGTACGTTCAATTTCAATTACTCGCCGCTCCCGTATATCTGTTTTTACTCTACGAGGTTTCACTAATATTTTTTTTAAATACAAAAATACATAATATATCATTAGAGCAGCATTTATGTTTTGATTTGTTTTTTTTCGTGGCCCAGGAATCTTAAAATCTTGCCTAATAGTCACTTAATCCTTCTAGAATTTTCTAATCGGAGGGCCGGAACCTTAAAAAACAATAAAGCATTGAAAATAATTTGCAACCAGAAAAGGAACCAGAACGTCTAAAAAAATTAGTACTCTTGTTTACAAATTTTCAAACATTAAAAAAATAATTTGTTTTTTAATTAAACAAATTAATAAGCATTCATTCAAACGTCGTTGTTAGTTATATAATTGTGCCTTACATTTTTTTGTATGGATATTGTTCAATGTTCATTTAAATTTTTTTAGGGCGGAACCTTTTTAAAATCGATTTTGGCTAAGCCCTATAGACCCCCCCCCGTAAGTTAACCACGCTGAGATTCTCCTGGTGACTAAAATATAACATTTGATCATAAAATATACTGATGTATGCTGGCTATGAGGGTGCGGCCCACGCCCCAGGTTACCCCCTTCAATGACGCGATAACTTCATATCCCCCAACCCGAGTTAGTGGGACCCTGAGTTCTGGGCACCAAAACGTTAAAAAAGTAGAACTCGGAAACTTCATAAAGGTTTCGGTCCTTGGTTCTAAGCTTCATTTATTTTTGATCAAAATTAGGTTAGAGATTGGCTAAATCCCCCTCCTTGGAAAATTGTTTTATAGGTTTGGTCATGAAAATAGGAATAAAATTTTTTTATTGATTTTGAAAAAATAGGAAGAATTAATTAAATACAAACTGATTAACTTTCAAATCTGTTATTCCTTTTTTTAAGATATTTGATTTATATTACAAAATAGATTTTATGTTTAATTTTTTTAAAAATGTAATTATTTATCAATTTATTTATCATATAGTGCATGATGCTACAACTCAATACCTACCATATCCTTTACAAGTAAATATTTTTTTGTTTTTCTTTTTATAAAAAAAATAAAATTAAATATGACGAGGAAAAAAATAGCTCCAATTAGTGTTGACATTTGTCAGTGAATAATTTTTTGCAGTAGAGATAGGAATTTAGACCGGACATAAAAATATTACGAATCTTCGCCAAGCCCGTAAAAAATCAATTTTAAAAAATTGTTTGGGCCATGCCGCACTGATTTAAAATGTGGAGCAATCAACTTGGTTGTAATCTTTAAGGATTTTGGAGCGGGGTTTTTTTTACAATCGGATGCCCTTCCTGACATCAAACCCTTAAGGTGACTTTTGGACCCAGTCGAAGAGATGATGATCATATTCTAAACCCTGACCTCAGAGAATTTTTTTAAACCTCTATTAGGTAGGATTTTGGGGGAGAAGCAATCAACTATTAATAAAAAAGTTATAATCTTGTACACTGACAATAAATCGTCACCTCAGTGTTGGCAAAATCTAACCTCTGCTAATACCTTTAAAATTAGAAAATTTAATATAAAAAATAATAAATTTTCTTTCTTGCAGAGACAATTTACATTAATTATGAAATATATTATGATAGAATGATCAATAAAAAATCGATCTGAATAATGATTATATTATTTGTACAAAAACGAATAATCCAAATATTATAATTTTTTTGTAAGTCTGCCATTTGTGTGAATATATATAAAATGAGAATAGGTAATTATTTGTTTTTATAACCTTGACAATTCCAAATAGTTTCATAACCCGACTTAGCTGATAAATGGTTATCTTTCGATTTTTTTTGTTTGCTAAAAGCGTGTTGGTCAACGTTTATGACACCTATCACACCGGATGTTGGGAGAGCAAAAACCAAATGAGTTATTACGGAGATTTGATATTCGGTGTTTCCATACTCGTTATCGATTTATTCTATCACGTTCATATGCTGGTAACACATTTTTATTATACTCTTTATTTTTTTAAAATTTCATCATAGTAAGATTGTACGTCTCGGTCTCATTTGTATAGATCTGAATCCTTCGAGGAAGAGATTTATAAGGTTTTAGATATTTGCTTCAAAAGATAATTCGGAGTAATGGAATAATTTTAAGGTTGAATATCTTTGGTCTTTTTATAAACAATATCTTACTTATATAAAACTAAAGTGAAATATATAAAAAAAAATTTTATCATCCTATTAAAATATATTATACAGCTATGGGGTAGTATAATACTGAGTATGGCTAGCCTATTCATTTGCATGGAACTAAGGTGGCTTTTCGGCGAACTTAAAAGCAAGCTTATCAAGCATCAAAACTATTTGAGAATCATCAAACAAATGGATAAAAAGTTTATTTGATTTTGATATTTATGAGAATTTTTTTTTCGTATACTAATTAAGATTTTTATTTATGTATTTATTATTTTATAAATTTAACCTGCTAACTTTACATAAAAACTTCTTTTTTTAAAAAAAATACATTTTATATCAAAGATATCCAATGGCCAGCAGCGAAGAAATTGAGAAATTTAGCAATAATTGTTCTATCTGCTGGGATCCTATGAGGAGAGCAAGGAAGCTACCTTGCGATCATTTGTTTCACGAGTATACTTAATTTTTAGTTTATGTTAATATTAAAAAGAAAAAAAAAGAGAGAGAAAGAGAAAGAAAGAAACAAAAGAAGAAATAAAGAAACAAAAGAAGAAATAAAGAAAGAAAGATAATATCTATTTTTTTGAAACTTGTATACTTTAAGTAAACGTTATCAATTTAGAATAAGTGTTTCAAATTTTATACGTTTTCCAAAATATTTCATTATTATGGGGCTATATATTTATTATTTAGCATTCACCTTTACTTATTTTGTCAATCATTCATCCAAATCATTTTGAATTATTTGTTTACATTAAAACACCGAAAGAAAATAAAAATATAACTAACATAATGTGTAAAAATTTTAATATAATTTTCTAACATTTTAATTATTTTTTTTAAAAAAAGTTCTTGCCTTAGATCTTGGCTAGAGCACGATTCCTCATGCCCAATCTGCAGAAGATCTCTTAATACTCCACCTCAACTTACTAATAATAGAAATATCACTGAAACGCATAACGCTAATTTAAGTACGCAAAACACTAACTCACTCATAAATACTGATAATGCGAATAATATTATTTCGGATATCAACCCCAGCAATTCTTTATTAGAGAATTCTCTTATTTCCAGTGTTAACAATGCAACTGCCCCATCTTCCGCTTTTAATAACGCCACAAATCACACGGAAGGTATAATAAATAATTTGACTAGAATAAGAGACCAAAATAACGATAATCTTTTGACTAGAACCTTGGAAAGGTTGAACGCTTGGAACCAGCGAATGATTTTTATGCTCTTAGATTTTCTTTTTAACGCTTCCGCCGCCTTAACTTTGGAAACCAACGAAAATTCTAACGCTACTATTGGGTTGCCATCCCCTAATAATAATATAAATGGTCTTAACGTAAATATCATCTCTCCAAATTCGAATAATCCCAATCCAACTACAAATTCTACGAATACCGGAATTTCGACAAATGAAATTGGAGGAGCTAATAACGTTACGAATGGAAATAACGCGGGAGCAAGAGTTAATAGGGTCAATCGGTTTTTCCATTTCGATGGTATTATATTAATGATATATTATTTTTTTAAAAAGATTGAAAAAATTTTGTAGATAATTTATTGTAATTTAGAAGTACTCATTTTTAGAGATTTTTATTATTGAGTATAGACCGATTAAAATTTATTTATCCATTTTCACTCCCTCCCCTACCTCCACCACCATGAAAATTAAAAAAAAAAATTTAAATATGCTTAAATTAAAAACAAATATTATGTTATTATAATCATTGATCTACAGAATTTTATTATTTACATATTTTTTAAATAAATTTTAAATTATTTTGCAAAAAACTTTTCTAGTTTTGTCGTATTCTTTTTTTAAAAAAATCTACTATGTCAATTTCATTGAAGAAACAATCATTTATTTATTCTTATTTCAACAAATGTTAAGCACAGATATGCCAAAAGTCTATTTGACTACCTTTTTATCCCGCTTTTAAATATAAAAGTATCAAAGCTACAACCACATCAAGTCTCATATTTTGAAAGATGATAGGATTTTTTATAATGATAATAATAGTAAATTTTTTTAGACATTTCGTTTATTTAATTTTTTTTAATTGCTTTGTGCTTCTAGAATCTTCTTACTATCTTGTTTAATGAGGTTTAAATTAGAGATCTGCAAAGTTAGACCCAAGGCCGGGCTCGGGCTTAATATTTTAATAAAAATTCGGGCCGGGTCGGATTTTGGAAATTTTATTAAATATATCTAAATTTATCAATTCTATATTGAATTTTTTATATAAAATAAAAATTTTTGATTTAATTTATTGAAACTAAACGCTATATAACATATGTCTTTTATTTTAAGTAATTATAAAAATTAATTTCTATATTTAAATAAATTCGGGCCTGGTCGGGCCGGTAAATTTTTTAAAAATAAATTTCGGGCCGGGACGGGCTTGAAAAATTAGGCCCAATGCAGATCACTAGTTTAAATTACCTCCATATTTATTAAATAAATTGAAAAGAAAAATAACATCTATGAAGATCATAAATTTCTAAAATATCTTGAATAGGGGAAAGAGAAGCCTTAATATATTCAGACTAAATTGATTTTTTGATCATTTAAGATTTGATATTTATTGGTGAAAAATAAAACTGATCGATGAGCTAATAAGTACTTATTATGCATTACATATTGTTGATTGATTCTATAATTTTCCTTCAAGCATGATGTCAATTTTGGCGTTTTTTTTATTTCGCCACAAAATTTTTTCTTTAAAGTCCAAACGGGTTGAGACAGTAAAGAAATATGAAATACGCCCCAATTATTGGCATAAACTTCCGAGATATTGCTTCTAGATGATTTAAGCTACTTTACGCTTAAGTCGTGATACCATAGTTAGATTCTTAATTTCGGCTACTTTTTTAATGGTTGGCGAAATTGATTAAAGAATTAATAAGGCACTAAATATTAACGCAAGCCAGATAGTTAGAATTTCTATATCCTGCGTTCTGACATGATGCTTATTTTTTACCTATTTTTTTCCTCTTTAAATCAACTACTAAAGAGAATATAGTAATAAAATATACTAATAATGCCCTATAGTCCCTAAAACCTTGGTACGTGCGTGACGTCATAGTTTGTTTTTAACCCAGTTTTTTTTTATGATTCTAATATTTGAGTGAGGAATTGGAAGTACTAGTCAGGCATTAAATATTAGCTCACGCCAGATATATTTATATTTCCCATTTTGGCAATTTTCTTTATTGTCTACTAAACGGATTAAATTAATAGACAATTGTGATCTATACTTTGATAAAATTTACTTAATAAATGCTTTCTGTCACTTTTTAATCCTAAGGTTGTACAATATCTTGTTACTAATAATTTTTTCTTTTATACTGGTTAAAGTTAGATAATAATAATGCACAAAACATTACCTTATTTTATCAACTCTTATTGAAATTATATAAAAACCACCGAAAAATTTAACCCCCCCCCCCCCCCACAAACATTGGAAAATCCTGGCTACGCTACTGTCCATTATGATATAATTTTTACAATCATTATTAATTTTTATATTTTTCAGCGCAAATCTACTAAAACTTTAAAACGATTAAATATATAACATTTTTGATTATATCTTTATATTTTTCCGTCCTTAATGAAGCAAGGTGTATTCAAATCATTGAGTATTTTATAAAAGGTTCGATTTTATATGACCAACGCTTTAAACTTGATGATTTATGAATATTATTTTTATAGGGTCTTATTTACTTCATATTTTTATTTTAATACATGAAAAAGTACATTTTTAACATTTCACTGGGTGTCATTATAAAATACAAAGATGATTTTAATTGCATGGTTACAGTTTATGCTTAACGCATAAAACATATTTAATTTTTCTTATGCTTGTGAGGAGATGTAAAACTAAAAGTTTGAAGGAACAATATTAAATATTTATTAGAAATATTTTACTTTATAAAAGATTTTAGTGGGGATAGACAGAATACCATTAATACAGTACTTAAATATATTTAAGTCACTAACCAATACTATGAAAAATAATTTGTAAAGAATCCCAAAAAATAATTTACCAAAAAATTTTAAATACTTATTTATCTAATGTTTTTGTCAAAATTTATATTTAAAAAGATGAGAGCTATAGTATATTTGAGAATTGTTTGTCAGTGCTACAAATATAACATCAAATCAATTGATGACAAATTTTAATATTAAAATAATTTTTAAGCATAGGAAAGGCCACCAAATAATTCCTCACTTATTAAACTGCTAAAATATCGAAGTAAAATGCAAAGTGATTAAGTAATGAATTTTAATAAGGATTATTTTAGTCTAGAATGGTGATTTAAATCCAAATTGATTTTTATTTCCACACCCTTTTTACGGGACCACTAAACGAAAAAGAGCGTAATTATGCATTTTTTTAAATTTAACTAGCCTCACGGTACATCAGTTGGCTTCCAACTTTTTCTCTCCAAATCTCCCATTTAAGGATTCATCAAACAGTTTCTACAAATACCCCTCACGACGCGAATATGGCAACCACAATCAACTCATTTTTATTAGACGATATGGTAATTTATATTTTTTGATGTGATTATAATTAATAGCATCCTGCTATAATATTAATTTAAAAATTGAGAATATCCAATCACAATCGATCCCTCAGTATGGTTATGCGATCCTATTAAACTAAAGGGGATTTTATTTTTGAATATAATTCAAAACAAATAATTCACATGGAAAATGACATAATTTATTTAAAAAAATATAAAAAAAAGAATGATTTATAAAAAAATGTAATTTTTAAAATAGGTTAGACAAGTTACCCATATATTTCCCCACATCCCGGGTCACGTCATTAGATCCGATCTCACACTAACCTGGTCAGTCGATAGGACAGTCGAAAACATCCTCGAGGGAGACCTCGGCAACCCTTACTTGCTTCTCGACGAAAATTTAGACGATACATACATATCCCAAAATCGGGAGGCCAATTTTCCATCCACTGACGATACATTTAGCACTAATAACTCTCTTAATAACAACTCGAATTTCGGGAACTCATCTAACGTAAATCAAAGTACTAATAGTTATTCCAGTACTTCGAACGACAGTGAAAGCGGAGAAGAGACTGACGAGGCTCCCATAAATTCATTAATTAATGAAAATTTCAATATAAATAATAATAGGGGTGAAAGGCGGAGTGGGATGGAGCACTATTTTGAAAGATACTCTTCGCGGGGAATTAATAGTAATAGTGATAGTACAAGTGCACAACAAATTTATGACTTGATGGACGAATGTGAATTCGAGCTCGATGAAGAATGCAAAGAGAGGTCATTATTTTATATTTCGTATAATTTACTATAAAAAAAAGAAGGGGTTTCGTCAAATTGTCTAACAATATTTTCTAAATCGTTTTCTATAAACTCCTCTTTATAATGACTACCTCCATAATATGGGTAGAACGGGAAATTTATTAGGCGTACTCTATAGAGCTATCAATGCCTTATGAACGAGGGGAGTAGTAATTTGTCTTCATAAACCCTTTAGTAGAGTAGGCTATTAGAGCATGGGGGTAAAAATATTTATGAGACTGGGGAAAATTTAGAAGTGTTGCTTCCAATCTTTTTTTTCTAATTTACGTTGAGTTTTATGTATAGCTACTTTTCAAATTCATGAAAAAATATATTTACTTATTTAAAAATTAACGCCTCTGAAAATAGAAAAAAAAAGAAAACAGTTTCGAAGAGAGCATACAATTAGATGTTGTGCTATAATAGTAAATATTTAAAAATTCTTTATCCTTTCATTAAATTGTATCTTTTTTGTGATATCAACCTGTTTTTCATAAAAGTATATTACCCAATTCAAAAATATATATTATACACATTTTGATAGCTATCCTTTTGTATCATACAATGGAAATTTTGTCGACAATTCGAAAGAACGAGAAAGTATGCTGGAAAAACGCAAAAAAACTATGTTGAAACAAGCCCAAAGGTTTTTAATTTCTAGCCATGAATGAATTTACCATATATTAAGAGGATGATAAAATATTATATCAGCTGATTATTGACTTATATTTATGCACATCAAAGCAAAAAAAAATTAAGATTGATTTGAAAATATATATTTACATTAATTTTTCGTTTAAAAGGCGATATTTGTATGAATCCAACCGTTGCGACGAAAACATTGACAACTCTAAAAGATCTTACTAATAAATGATAGCTCGACATATTGATTGAAATTAAAAAAATTTCCTAATAAATAAATCGAACATATAATCAACAAAAACATCTTCAAGTAAAATGACAATTGATACAAAAACATCTTCAAGTAAAATCACAATTGATAAAATGTAGTTTTATATTTAGAAAATATTTTTCCCCTCTAGGAGACTAAAAAAAAATTAATTAGGTTCACTCGTTATTTTTTAAAAAAATTATATTTATATTCGTGCGTAACTTTTAATCCCTAGATGCAATGTTTTATCGTCTTTTAATAAATTTATAATTTCATCAACCTCATGTTTAGTGCCAAAAAAGATTAGATAAGCCGAATTCCATTAGATTTATAATATATAGTATTATATTATATAAATTGCCTAATTGAATCTCCGCTACTAAAAAAATATATATACTAACATAATTTTATAAATATTTCTTTTTATCTAACTCCCCCAAGATTAATATCTTCTTTGAAACATTCTCTAATAGTAAAATGAATATCATGCTAAAACAAACATACAAAAAAACCCATAATGATGTTTCAAATCGATGCTTAATTATTTGTTTTTTATTTCCTGGTAATTTAAAAGGTGAAAATTAATAACTCATATCGCAATATATTTAAACAAATATAATTTTTTTTAAAAGAAATCTTACCATGTTAAAATGATTCGTTATTTATTTTTATTGTAAAAAAATACACCACCTTTAACAAGATTAATGTCATCATTTTTAGTTAAAGGACATTTCGGTTAAAAATTGTCATATTATTATATTTTTTTTAGATTATTGCATATTGTATACATTATCATATTGTAACATAATTATTTTTTGACAAGAAATAGATCTGCAAAAAAAATTATAAGATATAATAAAATATGTACTAGATTACAGATTTTATAAGTAATAATAATAATAATATATATTTGATTAATGATTTTTGTTTTCTGATTTTAGAAAATGTAATTTAGTTAGTAATATTTATTATAATGGAAATAAATTAATTTGTTTTACAAAGAGGGTAAAAACATTATAATTAGCAGAACTGATGATTTTAAAAAAGATTTTGAAATGTTTTCTATTTTAAAGATTGCCTCATTGTTGAAATTTAACATAAATTAATACAAAATAGATTATGAATAACTATTGAATATGGGTCTATAATTTATAATTTGATATTAATTAAGCCAGAGACCGGTAGGCCTAGAATAAGCCAGGTGTATGGGAATAAAAATAATTTTAACAAAACCTATGCCACTTTTTTTAAAAATAAATTTATATTATATCCATTAATCGGTTGGAAAATTGTATACTGAATAATAATGAAGCTTTTAATATTAATTTACTGCTCATATTTTTAATTTCCCCTTTAAACAATGTAACAGAATATACTCAAAAAAATATTTTAAATAGAGAAATTTAAAAAAATCTTAAAAGTGAATTTTTTTTAATATGAGATTTCCAAAAAGTATAGTATTTTCACTCATTGTAGTGCTTAAAAGTAATTAGGGATGTACCAATATTAAATATAGGATCAGTACTTATATTGGACTTAATAAAAATATTATACTGGCCAATATTTTTTAAAAATGTAGTCAATATCGATTTTACACATAATTTTTGTATCATTTTTATTTATTTTTGAAATGATTTCCCTTGTAATAAATCTTCGTAACACCCATAAAAAGGTGTCACTTATAAAATTGTTTAATGTTTTTTTTTACATTTTTTAACAATAGATGGAGTAAAGTTTGCAAAATTCACTTTATTAAATCATTAATAAAATACAATTTTTGTTTTTAACATTTAAACTTAAATATTCCATATTAAATCATTGATTATCACATTCATCTATTTTCTTTGGTATTTTAACTCAAGTGTCTGCAAGATTTGACAAAATGTGGCATCCCAAGTTGATATAAGTAGTTAAAGTGATCATAATCAAACATGCTTTACCATTATTAAATATCGGTCTTTTATGGCTATTTCATTCATTAAACTAATCTTACCATACCTTCATTATTAAATACAAATATATGTACTATGTAAAAACTATTGGAAATAAAAATGTTACTATAAATTAATCATTTTAACAACCATTTCATAAATCTCAAATTTTATAGTGGAAATATAGCTCAAATCATCAGCTAAAGTTGGTTTAGTAATTGAACAACCCTACCAGTTCATAAAATCAAAAAATAAAGATTTGAAAATGTTTTTAGTAGAATATTTCATATCTATTCAATAGTTACTAGTGCTGTAAATGTTACTATAGAAACTCATTATGTTTTAAAGAAAAAGAACATATTACCCTTTACTCATTACATTGTGAAAAAAGGAACACGTTATTTGTTAATTAGAAAATACTAAATAATATATATAAATTTTCTTTTTATATATTTTTCCCAAATAGACAATAAAAATAAGATATTATAAGTTCCTCTTGTATTCATTTTTTACAATTGATCTTCAAAATTTTGACCATAAAAACAAGAGCTCTTATGCTAAATGCATGTTCACTGGTGCTTATGGGATGGGAGTATTGTATCATATTTAATAAATAAAAATTCAAATTGGGGGAATTTTTAAAAATATTTAAAGAATGATTATTATTTTCAAAAAATCTTATTAGATCTCCTTCACAAGAATCTTTATTTAGAACCTCATCAAATTTTTTTTTACTTTATCAGAATTCAAATTTTTATTTCATGTTTTTCAAATTTAAGCTCATGAATATTGATGTTAAAATATTTGAATTGCAGTGTAATTTACAGTGCCCTTAATTTTCTTTATTTATGTAAAAAATGCTTCATACTGGGGACAGGGAAGAGTTAAATCATCTGAAGAAATAGGTACTATTACATATTTTTATAAAATAAATTAAAAATTTAAAACGTAATAAATAAAATATAAATGAAGAATATTGGTATTTGATCTGAATTTAAAACTTGGCATAAATTATTATAAAATTTTAGAAAAAATATAATTTTAGAATATATTAAGTAAAAATTTTATGTTACCATATTTCAAAAAATTGAAACAAGTAATGAGGCATTCCTTTTTCTTAAAAGGCAACGATGTTAATTTACTGCATTAATAATTACTGATTAAAAATCCCTTAAAAAAATTTAATATAATAAAAGCAATCTAATCAATAAGTTTATACAATCATTAACCTTTAATCTTATGATCGTAATCTTTTAACAAGATTACTTTTTCCATTTCTTAATCATTTTAACCCTAACAGATCATTTTAAATATTGATCCATTCAAAGCACAAATATTTTGTCATGTTTTGATCAATTTCTTCCATATTTGTTTTTAAATTGGCATCTTGATATTCATTGTCAACCTTCTGTTTTTCATAAGCTAATATAAACATCTTTTTTACTGAAGTGGCTAATCTTGCTAATATAATAAAATCAAGTATTGATTCTAAACATAAAATGTTTTGGATATCATTTTCAAGTGTATTCTTTATATTTTGATAGCACAATATTATAAATGATGAATGATAGAATTCAGGATCACCTATATCAATTTTAAAAATATGTTATGTTTAAATTTTACCTAAGTATCCTAAAAAATCTGTTCCAAATTTTAATCCTGGTGTAATATATAAATTTTTTAGCCAAAGATCTTCAAAAACTTTACATTGCAAGTTTTGAAATAATGACTTTTCATTTCTCCTATAAAATAGTTTTACAGTTAATAAATTATAGAAACTTTTGAGGGCTAGGGTATTCAATAATGGTTATTGTATCTTTAAATCTCTAAATCATTATTTGTTAAATATTATAAAAAAATATATACTTTATCTAGTAATTCTGCCTGTTCACGAAATAAGCAAACAGGAACAAAAATTTTAGATGAGTTATTGGATTTCTTTTTTCTCTTAATTTTTTGGGGGACATATGGATCAATAGAATTGCCAATTATATGTAAATCCCTTAATTTTTGAACTGCTAAATATAATGTAATATATACAAAGATTCTCGTGTTTAATTTAACTTTCTGGTTCAAAAATTATGAATGCATCTTTAGTTTGGTAAATTTTATAAGACATTATAGAATAAAATTTTAAATTGATGTCACTTCAATCACTAAAATGTTAAAGAAATTTCAAAATATTGTCATGAGAAAATTTAATTGATTACTATTGTCATGCAAATTAGTAACCACTATAATATAATATTGTTGATTTTTCATGTTTTAAAAAAAAATAATAATAAAAAATATATAATATAAAAAAATATCTTAACTTATCCTTAAAGTAACCTAATATTTATGGACTGATTTTTATTTCATTTATCTTACATTATAAAGATATCCGTTAAATCAAAAATTTGTTATATTTATTTATCAACACTGCGAGCGACTAACCAAAATGGTTAACATTTAATGATTGATTTTATATTTTATATAAAGTAATGTAAATAAAGAAACGAGAACACAAAATATTTTTTGAAGTTCAATTACCATGATTTTTGTAATAAATTATCCATCTAATAAATTATATATTTATTCTCCCATATACTTCAAATATTTAGTTCAAATATTATTTTTTTTAAATTTTAAATGATAATAACAATGAGTCCCTTTTCAATATCACAGAGTTGTGCACAGGTCCTAAAAATCCAGATGTGTATTCTTTATATAATAATTGTCCTGGATACGGAAAGTATAAGATTAAATTTTCAAAAGATATAGGGCGCTTATCTTTTTTTTAAATAAGAATATCTTCGATATAAGCAGCGTCTACATGACAGGATTTTCAGTGGATGCAACACCCCTCAAAAACATAAACCCACCCCCTAAAATAATTTACCGGCGATGTTTCCACATTATTAATCACACTTTTTTAACTACAATGGTACTCCTTTCATAAATTTTAAAAAGAATAACTAAATTATTTTAGCTCCACTAACAATTATCTATATTATTAATTCAATTAAAAATCCCCTCATTTAAAATGAATGTAATATTATAGCATATTGTTTGACATGAATATGAGTTTTCTGAGAATTTCCTTTTTTAAATTATATTTAAAAAGATAGCAGAAAGCTTTATATATGAAATAATATCTATGATTGTCTACAGTATATAGATTTGGTCGATGATTTATATCATTGTATTATAATAGGTGTATAATAAAGGTATTAATTTTTACAGCAATATATTTTGCCCTATTTCATCTAAAAATTTAATAGATAACCCCCAATTAATTTATCAACCCCCCTCCCATCCTTAAAGACGCCTACCCCTCTGCAAACTGTTCCTACACACGCCCCCCCCCCGCTTATATAAACCCTGGATATAAGATACTTTTATGGAAAATGTATTCATTCCTTCTGCGCAAAATGTCATAAAATCGATGAGGTCATATGGTACATCTTCATTGGAATTTTAACTCATGTTAATAATATAAATTTTAACCAATTTATTTTTAAAAAAATGCTTTTTGAAATTTATTTAATATGTTTATAATATATATTTTTATCCATTTGCTTCAAAAAAAGTTAAATAATTATGTTTATAACAATTATCACTTCTCTTCTCTATGATACATCTACATTGATATTTTTAATTTTTCATGTTAATAATATAACTTTTAACCCATTTGAGTCAAAACAGAAAAGTTAATAAATAACGATTATGACAATTATCACTTTTGTGTGGTACATTACATCTTCATTGAAATTTTAATTTAACATTTTTTTTAATAATATAAATTTTTAACCATTTGTGTTCAAAAAAGTTAAAAAATAACAATTATGACAATTGTAACTTTTTTATGGTATATCTTCATTAAATTATTATTTTAATTTAACATGCTTACTAACCCATTTACTACAAAAAAATATTATAAAAATAATTATAATATGAAGATCTTTCAAGATCGCTGATCAAATATATTTAAAAAATCTTAGATTTAGATCCTTCAATACCATTACCGTTAAATTTTACTATCTTCAAAGATCTCGATCTTAAAAGATCATTGCTCAAAATATTTTTAAAATGAAAAATCTTTTAATTTTACGATTTTCAAATATCTCCATCTTTGAAGTTTTTTTTATTTTAAGATAATGTATAACTCTGCTGAGAATGAAAACCTAGAAAAGACAAAAAGGCTAAAACTTTTTTATCTTTATTTTACTATGTGTCGCATCTGTTAGGCGAAACCGGTTTTTATTCTGCGTTTTACAATTATCAAAAAATTAGAATATTTCAGAAATTGCTAAACGTTTACAAATTATGGCCTCTACATGCTAATTATCTTAATGATCTGTAAAATTAAAAGAATGATTTTGGGATGTACGAAAAAAAATATATTAAACATAATTAAAATTGATTAAAATCCGAGTAATAAATTTTTACCAAAAGAAATAAATTGCTAGAAAATTTTGGGAACATAGCCAATATTTTGGTCAAATCGAAATAAAAAAATATCTCCCTGGATAAAAGTGAAAGAAAAATTAGAACTGTTATCAAAATTATTAAAATTTAATATGATTGTAAATAATTTTTGGGATTATTTAGCGAATCATAAGCGAGCAGATTCAACAATATTGAAGGAGCCAAAAATAAATTGCAAATATGATTTGAGTTAACAGTGTAGGATCAAAGCTTGGTTTAGGTTTAATGAATAAAGCAACCAGGGACAAATTGCACCTATTTTATAACAATCCGTTTGATCAGAAAACCTCCTCATCAAGGGAGGCTATGCCATCCTAAAAATCATAGATGAATGATTATATACTTGAGACATTTCATAAGAACAAAACTGAGAATTACTTGAAACACATTCGGTCATTATCCACATGTATAGATTCAATTCCTAAGAAGAATAAAACAAATTTCTTTGAATCCATCATTCTAGGACTGAAAAATGAAAATATAGAAGGCTAAATCATTTTTATTGAAAACATATTTTAATTTTAATAGTTATAATAATTGATTCCTAGAAAAAATAATTATAATTTGATCTATCTCTCAAACAAGACCTAAAAAATATAGAAAGCTCAAACTTTTTTATTTTGGATTTATGTAGAATCAATTAATGAAAAAAGTAATTTTTTAACTCATTTTCTTTTTGGGTTTTTTTTACAGTTATAGCAATGTGCAGTCTATGTAAATGAGATGAGAAGTTTATAAGAAATTTGCCCCGATTTGTCTTTCAGGGGTAGATTCTGGTGCAATGGGCGAGGTTTTAGTACGTCCATTCTCCTAATAGACTTTCTAAAATATTTTAAACATTGAGCGGGCGGCAGAGTTGTTACTCGCTACAAGTAGCGCGCTATCTTTTTTTGGTAGCTGTCGCTATTAATTTCCCAATTATTTATTTTTTTTAGCGTGCTACTTAGATATTTTTATAAATATTTAACTATAAACATGAAAATATAAATATAATAACATAATTAATATTTTCAATTTGTAAGTTATATTTTCAATTTTATAAACCTAAATCATCTGGTTTAAATTATTTAAAATGTCATCGCAAATGGCTATCCAAATCGATAAAGTGAGTCATTTCTATTATAATTAATAGAATGGAAGGTGCCCTGGAAGAAAATGTTCTTGATAACAATAATACAAATTCTCATTTTCAAAATTTGGACATATTTTTAAATTAATTTTAAAACAAAAGGTAACTACAAATTTATTTGTCCAAACTATAAAAATATACATCCTCAAATAAATCTAGTAGCTATAATTTCAAAAGCAAAGGTAATTGTCATTTTTATATTTCTAATAGTATTTTTATTTTGTAAGAATGTTCATGCCAACAATTAGAGATAGATAAACAACTTAATAATTTTGGTAGAGGAGAGAAAAGACCAATTCAATTTAAGCTAAATTGATTAATAATATTGCACATGCCAATATTATCAATTTTATATTGATACAGTTCAACCAATGTCATTTGATAATCCATCATTTAAAACTCTATCCCCTGGTACAACAATTTTTTGTCGCCAGACACTGATTGAGATAGCAGACAAAGATGCTCTAGTTAGAACCATAAACGACTTTTATTGATATTTTTTGAAATAAAGGATACTAATATAATAGAAAACCCCTAAACGCGTTACTTAAATCTAAAATACAAATGAGTATTTTGATAATTTTCCTTATATTAACAATATGTATATAAAATTAAATACTGCCTTGCGCTCAAGTGCTAGTGTTGAGAGATATTTAGTAAGGCGAAGCGAAACTCATACTTTCTGATCGTCGCTCTAGACTTGGGAATGATAGTATAGAAATGATTTTATTATTAAAATGCAAAAAAATAAATAAAAATATTACCATAAATAGTTATTTTTATATATCATAAATTATAGTCTTTTTACATATTTTTTTTATAATCAAAACTAACTATATTTAAATATTTATAAATGATGATTTTATGTATTATATACTATGCAATTAAGCAAAAAATAAAACAAATTTAAAAATAGCCAAAGCTACTTTAAAAAAAGAGTAGCTAATAGCGAGCTACTTTTTTGGCAGATAGCTATAGCGGTAGCGCGCTACTTTTAAAAGTAGGGTTTAACAACTCTGGCGGATGGGCAAGCGAGCTAAACAAAATTTTTAGACGGGTGGGCCGGTTAAAAATTTTTGAAAACGACGAGTGGGCAGGCTTGTTGGCTAGAACCCGCCCATTGCAGACTTCTAGAAAGTTCATTAATGGAGATATAACAAAAAGATTGTTGGAGATAATGGGGTAAATGTAGACGCGTTGCCCCTTAAAAAATGAATATGCTGCCCTGTGTAGAATCTGGAATTATAGAAATTGAACTGGAAACTAAAAAAAGATTAGAAAAATGTGAAAAACGAAAACTTTTTTTCTATTGAAATCCTATTTTTGTTTTTTTTTACAGTTAAGAATAGCTTTGTGACTAATGGAAAGCAGAAACTTTTCTGTTTTCCCCCCAGTAATAAATAATCATGCGCTTTAGTTTGCCAAACTGATCTTAAGGAAAATCTTTTTGTGTCCGAACATCATTTAACAACGTTTTCTTCCTTAACTGATAAAGATGTATAGTAATAAATTTATTCATCGTCTATATATTGTATAAAAAAAATTTTATATAGTATTATATACAATTAAAATTATTCTTAAATGTTGAAAAAAAAATGAGATATTTTATAAAATGGAGCGATCACAGTAAAAAACATTTTTACATTTTTGTACAAACAATTCATATAAAAAATTTTTAATTAATATAAGATAACGAAATTGGAAAGAAAAAATAATTATATGTTTGTTTTTGGAATGTTTATCGAAGTTGTGTCATTTTGATTTTTCGTGTACTTACAAAATAATTCAATATAAATGAGAACATATATATATGTAAGATTATCGAAAAGGACTGGGCTAAAATGGTCCAATCAAATTTGACAAATATTTGAATTTAAAAAAAATTTATTTATAAGATAAAGGAATAATTTATGATTAAATTCATGACAAAAAAAAAATGTGATAATAAGAATAGTAGTTAATAATTTTTTTAAAAAAAAATTAATAAAAAACTAATTTCAAATATTATATAATTTTTAAAAAACAAAAAATGATAATTGTTTTAAATTTATAAATTTGACTCTTGTATTTTTAAAAAAAAAATTGATGTAAATTTGTGGGGAATTAAACCAATAAATATTGATTGATTTAAACTCCGCTACCTTGAATTTTCCTAGCCAAATCGAATTGAATATCTTCCTTTTTACGCTCAAATATAAATTTTTTACGGCCCGTACAGTCTACCAAGAATAAGATGGCGGAGGTCAGCTGTAATAAGGCACCCACGACTCCGAAACCGAAAGACCATGAATAATAATTCCACTTCCAATGAGGCATCCAATCCGAATCCTTGCCGCGAAAACCAAAAATTACCAATCCCATAAAATGGCAAAAGACTTTAAATTTTTTTTTTGGATAAAATATAAATAAATTTAGAAAGAAAAAAAATAGGGGAGATTAGATAATAAAGAAATTATAAAATGTGAAATCGTTATATTTACATATCCTATTTATATCTCTCTAAAAAAATTGATGATGTAAAAATAGAAAATAAGCAGTCTTTCCCCATTTTATTTTGATGTTTACAATGGGACTGGTAATATGTGGCTCGGAGTTAGATATAGCATATGATGAAATTGTAACCGATAGATAATATGATGTTTATGGGAGTTTGATCATATTACATATTCATTTACAGCAGCATAATTTTATAATTACATTTTAATTTATAACACATCAAATTTACATATTTTTATTATAAAATAAAAAAGTAGTACATATAAATATACAAATGAAATAGCAGAGATTAAAAAAAATATCAATTTTTGGTATCATTGTTCTTTGAAGGAACCAATATGATATTTGGGTAAATTTTAAAGGATATAAATGCTCATTTGAAAAGATATGCTATAATAAATACTGAAAGAAATAGTATACATGAGTTATACATAAATAAATAAGATTTGTGTCGACAAGAGGCACTAATTTTCAATCTTTTTTATTAAACATACGGCATCCTTTGCTGATTTTGATATATAGAACTTATCCGGCTATTATTGTTATTATTATAAGAGGAGCCATGATTGATATATGAACCATCTTCATTCTTTCCACGAGGGTGGGAATCGTAAGGATAATATTGTTTAGACATTGCAAGGTTAACGTGTTGGGCTAATTCTTTGTTTCTCCGAGAATTTTGATATCTCGCTTCTGAAAAAAACATAAATCCGGCTATCGATTGAGTCACTAGAGCTATCCAACCAATGTAAAATGCCCAAGAATAAACGAGCCATTGGGCGTCTATCATCCAGTCTCTATCGTCTCCGTGGATGGAGAATATCATGAGACCGATAAAATTACTACATGCTTTTTTTGGCATTATTTAAGTTAACATAGTGTGAAAGTTAAAATTTTTAATGGGTTTAATTATTATCACAATGTAAATTACCCGGAATAGTAATAAATAATATGTTTTTCTTTCATTGATTACACGTTTTTGTTTTAGATTTAATTGCTTAAAATTTATGGTTATCATAATACTGAGTTCTATTAATTATTGTGGGTAAAAATATCAATATCTACCAGCAGTAAGCTATTAGAGCACATAAGCCTATTTTATATTATAGTCCATCACATATGAATTTTGGTAATAATTGAGCCGCTTATAAATTAAGGTGAACTTTATGGCAATTTTATCATAAATTTTTAAATTTGGAAAGTCTGATTTGATTGGAAATGTATTCCAGCGGATATACTAGAGTAACTTTCTGCAAATGTTTAGACAATTTTCGCCATTAAATTTTTTGTATAATTGAAAAATCTAGTTTAAAAAATATAGATAAATTAAATGTAGTCCAAAAGTTAACGGCAAAAACTTGCATACTGAAACTCAAATCAGATGTTCGAAATTTAAAAATGGCGCACTGTAATTGTTATCAGAATTAAGAGAATCTGAATCCACAATGGATTCCATTGTCAATTATGGCATAAAAACTGTATAATAAAATATCGTACAAAGGAGGGGAAATAAAAAAAAACTATATTAGAACTTACATGATATCAGCATGATTCCTGACATAACTAGCGTAACACTGATTTCAGTATCGATGTCGAATAAACGTAGGAAAACCGGGATTAACATGGCCATGGATATGAAAAATAGGAGAAACCCAAGGCTCATGAACACTTGGACCGCTATGAAAAATCCTGTCAAATATTTTGAAAAAGTAATGAAAGTTATTAAAAAAATAATTTAATTTAGAATAGGAATTTATATTTAATTATTCATATTGTGATTTGTCAAGTTTAAAGAAGGTTAAGAGATTGAAAAAAAAGACTTTTAAAGAAGTTTTTTATCATTCATTGAAGATATACATTACCTAACCCCCTTACCACTCTTTTATACTAAATTAATTAACTATCTTCCTAAAACTTCAGGCGAAGTTATTACACCATATAATAGGAAAAATTATGATTATGAGCAAAAATTTTATCTAGACCTGCAAACAGGGTTCGGGATCAGACTGAAAAATGGTAAGATTTTAAAAATCGGGCAGGGGGTTTATAACTTTAAAAAAAAATCGAACCAAGCAGATCTCTAAGAAAATAAATTGTAAATTGTTAATTATTCAGTCGCAAAAATCAATTTATTGCTCGTATTTTCAGTTTTATTTTGAAAACAATTTGCAAAATTATTCAAAATAACCAAATTCTAAGAATTCCGGGCCAGGGCTTTATCCATAATTCCGAATTCTATCAATGGAGTAGAGTTTTTAATCGATAATAGAAATTTAGGAAATATTTCGATCGAAAACCCAATTTAAACTTTAAAAAATAATATTTTACATTAAAATATATATTGTATTATATAGAAATTTTGAAAATTTAGACGAATATTGTATGAAATTTATAAATGTTAATAAAACTAAATAAGTGATTATCCTTTAGATTTTTTTAAAAAAATTATGAATAATAAATATATTAAACAAATATGCTGTTATGTTTTGTTCAAAATATACATAAATTTTTTTAGTCCTGCTCAAATTAAACTTATGTTTGTATTTGGAAACCCTTTTGCCCTTTCTCCCCCCCCCCCAAGTAAGTGTGTTCACGTATATTAATTAATTAATAACAAAAGCGTTTGATTAGATAATTATTAAGTATTGTATTTATATTAGAATATATATCAATTTTAAATTTAAAACATTTAATTCCTGTAATAAAATGTTTGTGCAATAAGGAAGAAAAGTCAAAGCTTAAAACAAAAAAAATTAATAGAATCGATCGATTATATAATTTAAATAATATTAACTCGCTTTACGTTTACCAAGATAGCACAAAGTATAATTTTATTTTTTAGAATAATTCAATTTTATTGAAAATATGCTAATATTATGCCGTTTTAATTTATATTAGTTTCTTTCAAATTTGAGCTACTATATATTCAGGAAAATCCCCGAGGCTAAAGTGATAGTTTTAGGCTAAAAATTTGGTTTAACCGATTTTTTAGACTGTTAAAAATTGGCTTAAACGGCTAAAAATATAATAATCTCGCTTCTTACAATATTTTATTCAAATCTTAAGGTTTCCTAAGAAATATTATTCAAAGTAATACAAGATATTGTCTGAAAAAATTATCGCGTTATCTTTAATATATTTTTAATTTTAAAATAAGGGTAGTATAAATCATAATAATTGGCCATGATTATGTTGATATATACAATCAGTGTCATCTTCCTCACCAGGCCAAAATAAAAAATAGAATTGGATTCTTAGTTCCATATTTTTTCTTTTAATAAACAATGGTTCATTTTTATATCCACGCAAAAAAAAGTTATAAAAAAATATTCTCTATCTTCGCAAGATCGTGGAAATAATTTATAATGTCAATGTAAATAATCATTTTTAAAAAAAAACATAAAGTGCAAAATTGCGAGGTAAATATTAATAATTATATTAAATTTTGACCTGGAGGGGAAAAAACATATATATAATTTTGCTTTTATTACAATAATAGGTGCAGATGAATTTTGTAAAATTATGCGCAATAAAAATAAAATATTATATATAATACATAATAATATTCCCAACATATTTAATGGGACATTTGAAAAAGATTCAATTTGGGGGATAATATTAAAAAAATTAGTTGATAAAATTTTTTCCACTTGATATACAATTTTTATTAATATAAATAGTGACATATTAATTAGGTAGGGGAGAGGCGTGTCTAGAATTGTTAAACAGCTCGTCTCTTGGTCCGATAATATTAATACGATCTAGAAATGTTGAAAAGGAAAGGATAGAGGTAGGGATGACAAAAACTCCTTTAATTACCAAAAATTCTTTCTGTGTATATATATTATATATTTGATGAGTTATGACGATATTACATTAGAAGTGATAATCCATAGAATATAGGGTTTTTTAATTTAACCACCCCAAGATTGTAAATAGTTTTTATTTTGGTGTTGGGCTAGCAATATATATTTTGGTTTACGCCTTGTATTTAAAAATCAGGCCGGGCTAGGCAACCTTAGTATTAAACTGGGTAGGGCTGGGCTTGAATATTTTTAATATGCAAACTTTGATACAATAATCAAAACACCTTTATCACATAATATTTATATTCTTTTTTTTGAAAAAAAAACATACATCAACTCTCTATTACATATTTATCGATAAATGATTCAAAGACTATTGTTTTTTAAAAAAAATATATTCGGTCATAATCGGGTAAGGTATGTTACATATAGATCATAACATGTGAACAATAATTACAGTCTATTACACATTATACATTGTTACGCAATAAAACAAATAAGATTCTTATCGCGGATGCCTTAAAGTTAGGTTTAGGCGTTAATTTTTCTGCTCAAAATATAGCTCTAAACCATAGGCAAACCCGAGGTAGTATCAAAAGCCCCATTTAAGGGGTTTCATAAAATGTATGAGCGGCTTAAGTTGAGCAAATTTTTTTATTGATCAACAAAAATTTCTCTTTAAGGCTTTTACGTTTGCCGAACAAAGTGGATATTTTAGTAAATTTTAGATAATTTGGAGATTGTAATTTTTTCTCTCCATTTTGTTTCTCCTCGTCTATAAAAGGTATCATTGTTTGAAAATTTTATAAGTCATTCTTAATAGCTTTGTCATCCCCTAATTTGGAAAAAAACTAGGTTGGAACCGTCATTCATTGTTAAAAAGTAATTTGATTAGATGTAGATCACCCTACCCATCTCCCAAAATATTTTGAGCTAATAGACCTACCCGTTGATAATATCTTTCATTCTCTAACCCACTCATAGTTTATTTTTTTTATTCCATCCGTTTCAAATCTCTAATTAAAGCTAAACCTATGATGTGGATAAACTACTAGATTGGTCATTAGTACATTTAAATGTGTACTTATATACTATTCAGCAGTTAAGCCATTTTATTGCACGTTGATTCAATGATATTAATCTGCATTAATATAATGATGAATAGGAGAATTAGTCTACGTGCAAACGACAAAATGGTTATACAGCTGAGTCTTATCCATATACATTTTCATTAATGAATCGCTAATCGTAGTATATAAACGTTATTTGGCTTGACCAAGTTAACGAAAAAATGTCAATTTGGGGATAGTGTTCTTGAATAAAAAATATTCAAAAAAATTAAACATGATTCTATGTTCTTCTTTATTCCATATTTATTTTATATATTATATAGTTTACTACATTTTCAAACCCTCGCATTTGAGTTTGCCCGTTTATAATACCAAAAAATCTCGTATTTAAAGTAATAAAAATGAATAGCACTTTGAATTCCTTTTTTTTTGATCTCTTGCAAACACTTGTCAAAAATTAAGGGTTTACGGTTATAATCTACTATCATTTCATAAATAACCTTTCTCTATGTAATCGAGCAATTCGTCGTAATAACGCGAGAAGACCCACCAGCAACCATTGTAGACTTTATCGAACGTTTGATGCGGGTGACGAAATCCTTTGAAGCATACTTCCCAAAGACCCAAGTTCTTCATTTGATATTGGCTGAACCTAAAGATAGATAAATTATAAAACCATAAATACTCCCCTGATTATAATAATCGATTAAATACTAATTGGGTAAAATAAGAATTTCATAAATTTATGAAAAATAATTTTGACTAAACCTGGAGTCATGTTGTAACCAATTAGGGCTGGCGAATGATATGACTATACAAATCATCGCCACGAGGGAGAATACTATGGCGATTTTGAAAGCCGGACTCAATTTCCGCTCACGAATTTGTTGGTTGTGATGATCGTGGGGTGGCATTTTTTTTGGTAATGTCTTGTTATTTTTAGTAAGTAATTAGTTTATCCTTTCCCCTATTTGTTTAAGAATAATATTTGATTTTGGTAAAATGTGAAAAATATTTTGTCTTTTGAATAACGAAGATTGAAAATGAACAACATGCATCTGAAAGTTGTTAATTTAATTCATGATATTTAGAATTTAAATCATTAAATGATTTTCGTTTTATGTTTTAAATTTTGTAACTATATAATTTAAAAAAACTTCGAAAATTATATTTTAGTTAAATTATGTTTAATATCTTTAATTTTATGACTTTCGTTCTTTTCTCGATCATTTTTTTAGAAAACCCTTAACACATAAATATTTATTTATCATATTATATATAGATATCACAGAGACCTGCCAGAATATTTCAAATCGCCATTATTATCTTAAAATTAAAAATAATATATTTTTAAAAAAAAATCCGGGCAGGGCTTGAAAATATAAAACCCGGCCGGGCCGAAAAAAATACGAGCCAAGCCGGGCTAAAAAAAATTTTTTTTTAATCTGGGCTGAGTTTTGCAAAAGGTACTTCTACGCCTCTGATATATATATAATTAATATATGTATATATATATATATATATAATTAATATAAGTATACTATACTTTAATGTAAGATTAAGAATAAGAACATATTTTCTTTAAATCAATTTTATATTTTAGAATAATTATGCCCTTGGGCTGAGTTTTCTAGGCAAGGCGTGCATAGTGGAATTGAAATTGATAATCTAATTGAATTTTCCTCATTGGTAGATAAAAAAAAAAAAATTTTTTAAAATGTGATTTTTTTTTTAATTTTAAAAATGTGATTAGGCACACAAAAAGGTAAAATAATAATTTTTATTATATTTTTTATTTAAAAAAATAAAATAAAATAAAATAAAATATCAATAAAAAAAAATATACATATTTTACGCGAGGTATATTCTAACAATACAGACGATATTTATTTATTTTTTTAAGAAAAAAAATTATTTTTTTTTTTTATTGTTTTGTTACCTGTAACAATCAGGTAATGTAGGGGGGGGGGGGGGGTTAAGAATCATGTTTGTTTATTATTGCAACATTTTGTCGAATAAGAACATAATAACAACAAAAGGTAAATAATCTAATAATTATATCCTCGATTTATGGTTAAAACATAAAATAAGTAAAAATGGAACTAATATTTATGTAAATTAAATATTTAATTTTTGTAATCAATTATATCATTCTATAACAAAATTTATAGATACAAAAATATAATCTCCAAAGAGATAGTTATAATATATTGATTTTTTTAAATTTATTTAACAAAAGATGAATCATTTATAATTACAAAATAAATAACTTATTTACAATATCTTAAAGGTGTGAAAAGATAAAAGTTATAATTATATTTTTTTAGTAATAACCGGAAAAATAAATATCTTAAAAAGGTATATAATTAACTACGTACAACTTTTACTTATTTGAATTTATGAATCTAAATTAATTTGAGATAATCTGTAAACGCGATCTCACTTTTCACGAGATTTTGACAATAATATCGAATCCTTTCACGCATATCGTGATAAAAACTTTCATCCTTAACCAAGTATCGATTTACTTTATCTTCAGCCAATCCCAAAATATCCACTAGGTATCGTCTCTTTTCGTAGTTTGAATTCAAGTACACGTTCTTCAACTTATATCCCCATACTTGGACAGACCAGGGTGGATAGAAAACCGTGTCATTATTAGTGCCTAACACAGACTTGTTATTTTTATTATCCACTTTTTTAGCGTTATCATCTTCGTAGCTTTCCCTATCAAAAACGTTCTCCACGCAAATCTCCATCCATTGTCGTGTTCTTAGTTTCAATTTTTCGACCTCACGCCTCATTTTGAGGATTCCAAAACTTTCGATCTTATCGAACAGTCGATGCTTGGCTTCGCCGTATAACAATACATCCCCTTTATTCCATTCGGATATATCTGTCCCCAGTTCGTTTTTATAGGATTGAATGCCATTTTTAGACGCCTCGTTTTGTTCGGCTCGTTCTTGATAATTTCTGTAAGGTTTTCTGGCCTTCATCGGTAATATGAATTCAAATTTTTCACTTGGTTTTCTAACGTTTTGAGGGAAAAACACCCATTCGTCGTAAGAAGGAAAATGATCGATTTTTAAATTTAGGTTATTTTTAAGTTTTGATTTGTGAAAACCTATCACCGTTTCGGGTTTATTATAGTAGTTTAGTAAGTGTTTAAGCAGAACGACGCTTTCTTCCATAAACTCGGCAACTAAGATAAGATCGTATTGTTTGATCACTTCTTTTGTCTTAGCCCTCGTCACTGATCGATACAATTTTTCTAATGACTGGAGAGACTTAAAATGGGTCACATCTTCCTTTAGGCTTTTGTCTAAAAATGATTGCAAATATTCATTAAAACTTATAAAATATTTAAAAGTATATTATATAGTATATTTTATAATTTTAAATATATTTTTGAGATAGGAACCAATTTAGACTCAGGATCGGATCGGTTTAAACCTTTGTTTTGAAAATTTTGTCACTAATTATGATTTAATTAATGTGCAGAAGAGATACATATATTTTTTTATCATTAAAACAAAGCGACAATTTTTCAATTATAACTGCGCATATAAATTCAAACTTATAAATTAGAAGAAATGAACGGTGTCTATTAACCAAATAATATATAATTATTTAAATTACTTGTCTAAAAATACTATTAAGTTGTAAATACGATTAAAATATTTTCGAAATTCATCAAATCAGATTATATCTAATGAGATTAAATAGAATGTTTGATAACACTTATATAATATGCAAACTTAGTGGTACCGTCAAATAGCAATCTACAAAACTATCTAAAAATAGCAGCTGGTATTTAATTTATTATCTTTATAATGATGATCAAAATTCTAAATTACTGTTTATAATATAATGTCTCATTTATACAATGCGCTCCTCTGGAACGTTTAGGGAACTTATTTTGGGATAAAAAAAAAGCCCTGGAAATTGTTTATTGTGAAAAATTAAATAAAAATTTATTGAGCTCAAATTTTTATGAAAAATATATTTATTTATTTATTTTCTGCGCAAATTTATGCCATATTATGATATTTTTTTGCAATGCAATTACTTCCCTAATTAAATTGTATTTTCATTACAGTCCTTTGATTAAAATTTTGTAAAATAAAAAAAATATATTAAAAATCTAGTCACTTTTGAAATTTAACTATATCAATTAACAAGTTATTTTAGAAAGAATATAATTAGTAACTACAGCCTTTACAGAAGTAACTTTTATTAATACTGGTCTTGAATTATTGAGTTATTTTAAATTAATAAAATTACCCAGATTGACTTCGATAATAATCAGTCAATATACATTGTCTTGCTAGTAACACATACTATATATTAGTGATCTACATCGGACCTAATTTCCCAAGCCCGGTTTAGCCTAAAAAATTTTTAAAAAACTTTTCCGAAACGACCCAATCCAAAACAATTTATTTTATTTACCCCGAAAAACCCAACCCGAAGAAAAATAAAAATTTTTATCCACACGACCCGAATTTATTTATAGAAAAAGTTAATATTTTTTTTTATTGTTAAAAAAAATTCTAAGAATAAAGAATATTAGCGCCTTGTTTCCGGTTCGGGTCTGATTTGTAGATCTCTACTATATATATAACACAGAACAATATTAAAATAATTGATAGAATTAAATCATTATGGAAACAATTATTACTGTTTATATCATCGAGAGAGAATCTGAACCCAAAATCGTACATCATAGGGTTCCTCAATATTCTTTCAAACATCTTTCCTCCTTTATTTTCCTTCTTTTTAGTCTTGGAGGGGAATAAAAAAGTTTGCATCCATAGTTTCATTGGATTTATCATAAATTCATCCATCCTAAGGCCTGAGTAAAATATAGCGTTATAATAATTGTAATTCGATTCATAGACCTTAACGGGGTCCCTAACAATTGATATCCAAAGGAGGTTCTTATCTTGCCTAATTGGTATCGATTTTAATTCTGAAGTGTCTTCTAAATGATGACATATCATATAAGGGGATTTTATATTTGCTTGACTATTTTGTTTCAAAACTTTTGAGTCAATGTACATCGAATTCGCGTCGGGAAAAATGAAATGATACCCATGGGTTAAGCCGTATCTCATTAACAGGTTTTGAATGTTTGAACTACCTGTTTTGTGGACTTTGGTAAAGAATATATTTTTCTTCTTATCGATTTGGTAATCTATGGGATGATTTTTGACATTATTTTCATCCAATTTTTCTATTAATTCGTAGCTACGCGAACCCAAAAATGGAGGAACTATGTGGGGCAATATGGATGATGAATAAAATAGAGTAGCTGTTGAATATCTAGAGAGACTTCGAAAGCTTAAATTTTATGATAATTATTCAAAATATTTCTGGTATCAGGAAAAATAATCATATTACTATACATAGTGATATTATATAATTTGTATTTGGACAAACTGAAACAACAGGCTAAAAAAAAGAAGTAGAGAACATTATTCTGCTTTAAAAACTTTACAGCCTGAGAGAATAGATCATGTACATCAAGACAATTATAAAACGTAACAATTTTATAAAAGGAAAATATTTCAAATCACCAAATTCTTGAAATATTATATTAAAGATTCAATTGACTTTAAGATATATACCTACAATTGTATCCAAATTTTAAAAAAATTTATTTCATAATTTTAAAAAAATGTTTTATCACACCTCGTCCTAACTTGACTAAATTATTTATGAATTAAGGTAACAAATTTTTCCATTAATATTTAACGTCCTATCTAAATTTCATAACTAATATTAGTTATGAATTTTTGAGGACTACATTTCGAAACAATATGTTCTTTGTACATTATTTTAAATGAATACATTTGAGTTTATTTATTGGTGTCACGGTATCATCACTAGCATTTGAAAGGTAGAGTGGAAACCCCGAAATATGTCCTTAGTTAATAAATTTTAGTTGTCTTCTTTATCTCTATCACTTCTTGATCTTTTCTAAATTAAATAAGCTAGACTACTTGAGAAATAAGGGGTGTTTCCATTAAAAACACTATCAATTTATCTAATAAAGGCGAATTTCGTTTAAACCCCTCGGACAAGCGTATTAATTAGTTATCTAATTTCGTAATTAATGTAGTGAAACAGGGACTAAGGTATTAAAAACTAATTTTAAAATAAATCACTATTTGTAAAATTATTTTATAAAAAAATATAGCGTTTATAAAAGAAAATTTGTTTAAGAAAAAAACATTTAACTCGGACAATTAAAAATGTGGGTTGGGTTTATTTGCATTGCTATATGGAACCATGAATAGGAATTTGTAATAGCTATGGATGAATGGCCATCGTAATGACTTGTTCTGAGTAGAAGACTTTATTACGTTTTAATATTAATTATTTCATTTTTTTTTTAAATTTTAATATAATAGACTCTAATATAAATGTTAAAATTTTAATTTCATCGTAATCTAAATAATTTAAATGATTTAACAGAACAACTTAGACATGTAGACTAAGCATAACAGCGAAATAGACCTTCCATTGATCTAGTAAAGCAACTTAAAACAATGTAAAATTCCAATAAAAAGCAAATATTTTCTAAAAATTAATATATAGACCTTTCTTAATTAATTTTCCCAAGGAGCATCCTTATGATCTGGGTTAAAGATCTGAAGGGCCCAGCCTAAACTGCATGAATATTTTTTTTTAATTTCCGTAAGTTGCCCGGT